GAAGGAGGGCTCCCCCTTTTTCATCCCTCTCTTAAATTGGATAGCGGACAATATCTTCTTCCTAGGACGAGGGAGAATCGTAGCTGGTACCACACATGGCTGCTCTCCCATGAACATTAAACAACTTGATGCCGGAACAGGAATCACCTGGGATGCCATCATAAAATCGAGCCCTAATACCACGTCAAAATCATCCATATGGGAAACAGTGAAATCTACACTTCCTTCCCAAGACCCAAGCTTGATACTGACCCTCTTCACACCACATATCATTGAAGCGGCAGAGTTAACTGCTTTCATTTGTCCCACCTCCTTGGTGACAATCAACTTACATCTCTCCGCTTTCTCAGGAGAGATAAACGTATCTGTGGCCCCTGTGTCGACTAGAGCTTTAGAGGTTTTCCCATTTACTGAGATGTCCACATACATCAATCCCCTCTCTGGTTCTTTTCTCAAGTTACTCAATTGAGACTGTAATGCAGTTATGAATCGGATGGAGCCCATTCTAGCCGGCTCAGGCTCAGTATCTCCCATCGGAGCGTTCACTCTTTCTCCGTCCTTTGTTGTTGCAACCATGGCATTAAAAGCACTTCGTTGTGGACACTCTGCAACCCGATGAGGTCCATTGCAAAGAAAACACCTTAACGAGGGTCTATTCCCTCCATTGCTCGATCCAGGACCAGTAGGGACTTTATTTTGAGCTGGGTCTCTTCCAGGGACTCTTCTATTTGCTCCCCAACTCGATGTCTTCTCCCCTCGAGCCAACTTGTTCCCACTAACCTGTTGGGTGTTAGCTCCACTCACAGAAGGCGTCTTGCGCTTTCCAGGATGATCGTTATAATCATTAAGGCACTTGGCAGCAGCTATCGCTACTGTCAAATCTTGAACCTTCTGTCTCTGTAACTCGAGTCTAGCCCATGGCTTGAGCCCTTCAAGAAAATGAAACAACTTATCTCTTTCTGACATATCCTTTATATCCAACATCAAGGTTGAGAACTCTCTCACATACTCCCGTATAGTCCCAGTGTGGGATAATTCCCTTAGCTTCTTACGAGCGTTGTAATCAACATTCTCGGGGAGGAAGGAGGTCTTCAACTCCTTCTTTAACGCATCCCAAGTCGTAATGGAGCACACTCCATCTTTGAACTTGGACCGCCACCATAACTTGGCATCACCACCTAGATACATCGAAGCCATTGCCACCTTATCTTCCTCAGACTCCGTGCGTATAGCTCGAAAATACTGCTCTATGTCAAATAAGAAATTCTCAAGCTCTTTAGCATCCCTCGCTCCATCAAAGCGTTGAGGATCAGGGATCTTGGCTCGTACGCCCACTCTTTTAATAGGGTTTGCGGTCAAACTAGCTACCGCTGCCTGAAGCACACTGACTTGAGCCTTCAGCTCATCATACCCAAGTTGTATCACGCCTATGGCATCTCTTGCCTCATTGCCCAAATCAGTCACTGTCTCGAGCAAATCTTCTTGGGTCTCCTCTACTCTCCTCATACGATCACCAGATATCATATGAGCTCTAAGGGCAGCTAGTGCGGCTTCGATCTCTTCTAGCTTCCGTCGATCAACCGAACCAGTCTCTTGTACAACTGGCTCGGTAGCTTCCTGCTCTACACCTCTGTGAGAGCTTGTCGATCCCCCCATTTCGTGTGCGAACCATTCTCGGTGCAACCGGCTCAGTAACTTCCTGCTCTACACCTCTGTGAGAGCTTGTTGCTCCGCCATTTCGTGTGCGAACCATTCTTTGTAACTCGCTGGCACCTCTATGCCTGCAACACAAATAAGCACAATCGTGCCTAAATTAGGAAGGAAAAGAGCACCGCTGTGCTGAATCCATAGCACCTCTGTGCTAGAATTAACGATTGAGCACCTCTGTGCTTCAATCGAGAGCTGACACCTCTGTGTAGCCAAAAGTGATTGAGCACCTCTGTGCTTCAATCGAGAACTGACACCTCTGTGCAGTTAAAAAAAAATGACTGAGCACCTCTGTGCTTCAGCCGGGAGCTGACACCTCTGTGTAGCTAAGATGATTGAGCACCTCTGTGCTTCAATCGAGGATTGACACCTCTGTGCAGCCAACTATGACTGAGCACCTCTGTGCTACAATCTAAAATCAAGCACCTCCGTGCTTTTACAATTGACCGAGCACCTCCGTGCTGCGGCCTGAGGCAAAGCACCTCTGTGCTAGGTTTAGCACTTGTGCACAGCTGTGCCACAAGCAGGTAGCAAGCACTATCATGCTTTACTCAACAAAATGAGCACCTCCGTGCTTTTAGTAAATGAACACGCACCTCTGTGCTCTGATACCAAGTGTCACGGACTTAGCCTAGTTGGTTCGGTTGCTAATCCGTGTGGCACTCGAAAGGGACGCTTCCCAACCAAGTCAGCCTCAATCTCGTAGATCTGATCAAGCATAAACAAACATCGCGTTAGATCTTTAGTCCTTCGACCAATAATCCGAGCCCGTGGGGCATATCGGATGCACACCTCAACCCCCGGACTTCTCCGAGAGAAAAATATTTTATTAATAAAAGAAACATCGGGTTACAGAAGACTCACCCACACCATCGATTAGGCCGTAGGGGCGGCCCTCGATGATGTTCACAAGACACGTACCTTTACCTGTGGATCAACCCAAACTCTGCCGGCTGTCCACCCCCTACATATATACGAAAACAAAATAACAGAAATGCTACCTATAGACGTTGAAATGCTCGAACAGGGGACAGTAAGTCATACCCCCACTCCCTACCTAAAACATTAAAATGCTTGAAAAGAGGACAAGCTTATTCTATCCTGCCACTAGGCCCTATACATGGTTGGCCTTGGCATACCTACCCGGTTGTGGCCCCATAAAAGGGACGGTCACGACACAAGGCACACCGAAGCGCGAAAGGTTTCTGGCGCCTAGGCGCAAGGCACAGGCGCACGTCTTTTGTATGTAAGGCATTGTTTGTATTATATATAAATATAATGAATAATTTTAATTTCAAAGTAAATTAATGAAATCTCTTATTATTTTATTTAAAAATTATATAAATTCTGATGTAGTTAATATTTTATATATTTTTTTATTATAAATAATAAATTATAATGATTTGTTTTTAAAGTTAATATAAGTATGAGTATATTAATAAAAGTTAAAAAAATATAGTGTAAACAAATTTGTTTTGAAATAAGACAAGAGTTGGGAAAATTTTTGATCGGGTGTTGTCTACACAAATTAACAAAGAATAAAATACAGTGGAGACACTTATCCTAAGGTGAGAGGAGTCAGGGACAAAAGATGGCATTATCTTATTTATATTTTAATTATATTTTTAATATTAATTTATTTATAGGCTATTTTTATTATATTAGAATATAATAACAATAACAAAAGTGAAGGAATAGGCGGTGACACTCTACTATTTACTCTATCAATAAATTATTTAAGGGAATGTTAATATATTGGGATCGATAATAAAGCTTCCGCTTGTGCTGGAGTAGTTGACATTAGTCTTGGTAAATCAATATTCTTTTCAAATTTTACATAAAATAGTGGATTTTAAATTAAATAAAATTTCGAACTCAAAAAATTCAATTTTAAAATACAAGGTAATCGACTATGTATCAATTTTGGACGTTGTGTGGTGTTAATCTTCCCCGTGCGTAATTGACTACCGAACTTGATTTCTGATTTTATAGACCAAAACTGTGTATTTTTAATAAAATAAAAATGTTTTAATAAAATTATCTATTTTAGGTGTTCTAATCGTATCCTAAAAATGATTGGTAGAGACTCCAAATTTTTTTATAAATCATTTTCTAAAAAAAATGTCAATAATCGATTTTCCCCAAAAAGTCGGTTACCACATAACTAATCAACAATAAAAATATAAGTTATGCAAGATATATGCATGTGATCCAAAGCATAACCAATGCACATTTCAGTTAATAATCAAAGTGAAACTAAATGATGAAGACCCAACAGATGATTATAATGAGAAGTTAAGCTTGTTAAAATGAGGCTATGGCCTAAGATGCACCAGAAAGGGACATACAAACACACAGGGAGATGTCGGTACGAGGCTAAGCTATCCCAAATGTAATGTTTGTATGAGGCTTAATCCCAAAATACCCACTCACTAACAACAGTCTACATACAGACAAAAATCTTGACAATTTTTGTCTAGACTTTTGTTGTCTTGTTCAGTATGTTTTAACTAAACCTAAATGATGTGAAGATTGAAGAATACTCGAGTTTGATCAACAAATTCTGCTTTTGCTCGACTCTAAGAGGCCTCAGCGAATGCGACTGTATGAAGTGGAACTGTTTCATGGCTGTGTTTTATTTAAGATAGATTGAGTTTCTGTTTATGGTAAAAGAATATTTAAACTGATCTGAGAAAAATATAATTATTTAAAGATAATTACAATAGTATCTTTTTTCTTCTTTTTTTCATTTAGATCCTTATTTTATTTAATAAAAATAAATAAAATCATATATATTTGTATCAACTTAGGTCATGTGCAGGTTTTTATCCAAAAATTAAATTAAACTTTTGATTATGTGAAATCTTTCTAAACCGAAATCAAATCAAATAATAAGTAAAAGAATATAATATTTAAATCAAACCAAATAAATTAAAAACTTAACCCGATCCAATTCATATCTATCTCTAATTCTGTTAGTTTCATCGTCCAAAGTCCCGAAGCTGTGCTGTGAGGCACTTCAGTTTTGGAACCGCCACTGCCCCCACACCCCATGCCACTTTCCCACTCCCTATAGAACGGTCCCCTCTGTTAGATTACATTACTCTATATTGTTCAATTATTGTTTAGGTAAATTAATCATACAATTAACTATAAACGACAAAGATAGGAAGGGGACAAGGACAAAGGAAATGGCTAGTTTTGGAACATCGACGCTCCATCTCCTGCCTGGAAATATTGTTCATTGTATTGACGTGCGCATGCATTATATGAGCACCAGCTCATATACCCTTTTCTCTCTCTCTCAAACTCTATCCATTCCCCATGTATGTTCATCTCCACTGTCAAATGTCATGTTTATCTGCGCTTCAATCACTCATTAATTTGTTAAAGCTTTAACCTTTCTTTTTGACTAAGCAATGTGTTATGTAGCTTAGCTGTTCACAGAAATACAAGGTGAATCCCAGTGTTACAGCCTGTTTTCTCATTCTCTTCAACTTTCCTTTTTGCTTACGTTTAGCCTGCAAAGTGCAAACCCCTTTATTTGAAACCTATCCTCCATTGCAGAGAAGAAGAAGAAAATAGCCAAAGTCCTAAATGGATCCCTGCCCATTTGTAAGGATCCTGGTGGGTAATTTTGCCCTGAAATTCCCACCATCGACAAATACTTCACTCTCCAGAATCCACCCTTCTACTTCTCCATATTTTGCAGTATTAAACTCACCAACTTCCTCACCAGGTGGCTACGATCCCGTCTCAACAAGACGGAAACAATTATTCTTCTTCTTTTTGCAGAAATCGGTGGCAGCTTGTTTTAGTCTTGATATGTCTCAGATGGATAGAATCGTAAAGGGTTCGGCATCGTGTAAAGTTTCGATCATGGTTTACGCTGGTCCTGATGGGAGCACTTGTGGATTGCCTTATAAGAAGTTGTTGGGGAAGGTCTCGGTGCCATTGGATCTACGTGGAGCTGAATCCAGGCCGTGTGTGGTTCACAAAGGATGGATTACTATAGGCCGGAATAGAAGCAACAAGGATGGATCGTCTCCCCAGTTGAGTTTAACTGTTAGAACCGAACCGGACCCCAGATTCGTGTTCCGGTTCGGTGGAGAGCCTGAGTGTAGTCCTCAGGTTTTCCAGGTTCAAGGAAGTCTTAAACAGGCAGTTTTTACTTGCAAGTTTGGTTTCAGAAACTCCAGCGACCGAAACTTGGGATCAAGGTTAGTTTTGTTTAGAATGGACTGGTTTTGAAAAATTCAATTTCTTCTATAATTTAAATTCTGCGTATGTCCTGTCTTTGTAGATCATCTTTGTCGGAATCAAAAACTTCGAGAAATTGGTTAGCTTCTTTGAAATCCGATAAAGATCAGTTCTGCAAAGAACGGAAAGGATGGTCGATTACAATCCACAATCTCTCTGGCTCTCCCGTAGCTATGGCATCAATGGTGACACCGTTCGTGCCATCTCTTGGACTGGATCGGGTGACTCGATCCAATCCAGGAGCATGGCTAATCCTCCGTCCCGGATGTGGAACCTGGAAGCCATGGGGTCGTCTCGAAGCCTGGCGTGAGCCAGGTTTCACCGACGCCCTCGGATACCGATTTAATCTCTTCGATGACGATATAGCCGCCACAAACGCAACCACCACGATCGCCGCTTCCACCATCAGCACCAAACACGGCGGGAAATTCACCATGGACACGACAACAACAACAAGCAACGTAGCAACAACACCATCGATAACCCCACCAAGCAGCGGTGACTTGGGGTCGGGGTCAAGTCCGGGATCCGGTTCAGGGTCGGATTTCGGGTCCTGGACATCCCTATCGCCTCAGAAATCGTTTCGGTGGGGAGGGTTCGTGATGTCGTCGACGGTGGAAGGGGCGGGGAGGTGCAGTAAACCGGAAGTGGAAGTAGGGGTGAATCACGTGACATGCACGGAGGATGCAGCAGCTTTTGTGGCATTGGCAGCGGCCATGGATCTAAGCATGGATGCCTGTCTGTCTTTCTCTACAAAGCTTAGGAAAGAGCTGAGGCAGCAAACTCAGAAGTTTGTCGTTTAATGTGGTGGGGCTCTGTCGTTTTGTTAGGTTGGTTCCTGTGGTGAAACTGATCCGATGTGGTTGTGTTATGTGCTTTGTTTTGGCAGATAACTCAGAGCTGGATTTTCAACTATTAGTTTTGTACGGTGCGGAGTGACGAGGCATCATATTTTTTTTCCAATTTTAAATTCCTTTTGTCATTACTCAAATTTATTCATTTTTTCCTTGTTTGTACTGTATATGGATAAATTGCATTCTTGGTTTAACATTCCATTCCATTTATGTTTTAGTCACTATAGATAAAAAAATTAACAAAAAATAATAATGTGTTCTGATATTGGCTTAAATTTCTCGTTGTCCCCTGAATTATACCATAAATTATATCATTTGTACTAAGTTGTCTCTTAAAATATTTTTCGAAACATTTTACTTTAACTATAAATTGTTACTCTATTGGCTCAAAAACGTTAACACGGTTGAAAATAAAATTCACGTACCAATTAGAACATACCATATCACCTTTCATTTTTATTTTCTTTAACTAAATAATAAATATTAATTAAAAAATAAAAGAAATGATAGCCCTAAAATACCCCTCTTCAGACTCTCTTCTTCCTCATTCCCTCTTCACTCTTTTCCCTTCTTCACTCTGTAACTTAATTAATCCCTCGTCTGAGGCCATCCTACAAGAACTGAACTTATCAGCCTTCATTTCATCCCTTTTCTGAGTCGATCCTCCGGGGAGGGTTTCGTCCTGATTGATGGAATTCACAACAGTGAGTTCATCGAAAGAATAACTCGGATAATCAAATGACCGTCTTCTGAATCCGTAATCGGCAATTTTCGCCGACCCACATCCCATTCTACTCTTTTTAAGCTTTGTTTCTGCCTCCATTTTTGTAATTTCTTGCTGAAAACTGAAGCGCCTGACCAGAAACTCCCAACAATCTCTTTGAAATCTCGCCCGAAAGTTTTCTTCGTTTGTGAATCAAGATCTGTATGGTCATTCATGGGCTTCAGCTCCTCTTCTTGACACAGTTCCTCTTCGTATTCTTCCACAACAGCTCGTCGATTGTGATCATGAGGTTCGATTTTTAACCCCAGTTTTTTCTATTTTAATGTATGTCATAATTACTTAAGCTGCCGAAAACGAAAGAATCGATGAACATGATAAGAAAAAAATAAAATATAATTTCAATTTTTTCTTGTAATTATTGTTTGGAGGATTTGTTTGGGAAATGAAAGGAGGAGAGTGGAACAAGATAATAATACAAGGTGAGGAAGAAGGGACTGCAGAGCAAATACTTGAAGGTGAATGACTTGGGGAAGATAATGAGGGAAAACGAAGAAGAAGTGGATGACGATGATGAGGAAAAAGGAGAAGAACAAGGGGAAGATAATGACGATGAAGAAGAACACAGGATTAAGCTTGATGATGGGTTTTATGAGATTGAAGTTATTCGTTGTAAAATGGTTCTGGAAATTTCTTCCTTTTTGACTTTGTTTTTGTCTAAGCTTCTCGTGAACCAAACTGATGTTATAGAGGGAAATATGGATTTGTGTTGATTAAGAAAAAGAAAATTTAACTTTAATTTCTATTTTACATTGCTCTCTTCTCCTCCTTAATGGTTAGGTGCTTATCCTCACTTCCATTTTACATTCCAGAGCAATGGCATAACCCCAAAAAAAAACTTTTTTTTTTTGGGGGGTGGGTGGGGAAGAAGGGTATTTCGACAGTGTTTTTATTTTATTTTATTAATTAATTTTTATTTATTTAGATAAAAAAAATAAAAATTAAAGGATGATGTCCATATTCTGATTGACTCGTGAAATTTATTTTTAAGGGTATTAATGTTTTAGGATAAATGATATAACGATTTATAATTAAAGGGGTAAAATATTCTGGAAAATATTTTAAGAAATAATTAAGTATAACTAATATAATTTAGGGGACAATGAAACATTTAAAGCCAAATAATTTTAATCTTAAAATTTATACATTCTATTAATTATGTCTTAATTCAAAATAACTCTGATCAAACCTTAATTTTCTCATCCTCTTTCTGTCTATATAAGTACAACCCTTCTCTTCCTCGTTGACAACACCCTAAACCCTAAACTCAAAAAATATTAAATATGGGATCAACGAAAATAATAAGAATAAATCATTGTCAATAAATTTAGTAATTTTTTATGCTCTTTCAAAGGTGAGGATTTTGTTATGATTTATTTGAATGAGTTATTGACAATTTTTAGTTGATTCTATATTCATTTATTTTTTTGTTTAAAATTGTTACACAATCAGAGGAGAAAGAGAGAGAGAAGGAAAGAACGGAGGGTAGGAGAATTGAGGTTTGGTTTAAATATTTGATGGGTTATTTTGAGTTGAGACTCAATTGATTGAATGCATAAGTTTTAAGATTAATATTATCATTATGCTAAGATATAATATGATTTTTATTAATTTTTTAACGATAATTAAAATATAAATGCCAGCATTAATGAGTGACCAAATATATAGTTTACCCCCATATCCTTTTGTTGGACATGTGCACGTGTTGAATTGAAGTAAACCCATTTTCGTAGTTCCATAGAAAAGAGAGGTTGGATAATGATAAAAGCAGCACACCTACTTTCATCATAGCCAAACCCTGCACACAAAGGTAATGTTTTCAAGACTAAATCCATGGTGAAATTGGGTGAAAGATGAAACAAAACATACCTAAATTAGCAACAATAGTCTCATCTTGTTAATATTGCATCATTTACTGGTTAGGTATCATTTGTTGATTTTTGTTCATCAACCTGCAACGAAATGTTCATCAACTTTAATACACAAGTGGCGTTTTCACATTAATAAATGCAGATAAGAATATCGGATGAAGCAAGTAATAAAACAAGCTTTTATTGGATAAAATATTTAAACCTTAAGTTGGTGTGTTCACTCGGGCTAGACTCAATTCGATCGGCTCGGTTACGTCAACATAAAGAAGCTTCATCGTGGCGTATACTCCAAACCCCAATGTATAGCCGGTTTCTTCTTCCTCAGAAAACAGCTCATCTGCATCTCTGTGATCTCATAAGCTTTTAAAAGTATTCGGAACTCCATATTTTCCAATCAACTACGATCATTTGTTATGACTAATGATAGACTAACATGACATGTCTAAATCAAATTTATTATTGACGACCATTTGTCTATCAAAAATTAGTTGATCTTATTCCCATATGTAATGGGGTAAGGGGGAGGTAGGATAGTAGGTTACCCCTAACGCCAGGTTGAGAGCAGTTTCCGTGGAAGACCTCCGTTATGAATTATCCTCAGTGGAACTCGATCCCAACTGAGCTAGACGGGCAAGACATTATCACTCTAAGTTACACAAACATTAACAATCTATATATAAACAGTTGGAAAAGAGTATTTTGGATTCTCTCGACTTCTCTTATTATTCTATCATCTTCTTGAATTTTTTTATTCTATACCTCCTTCACAGAACTACGATTTGTAGCTCTCCCACAACCCCGTTTCTGTCATCAACAAATATGGTCCATAATGTACCTATAGCCCCACTGGCCACTGGCCAACCTGTCTTTTAACCATTTGAGGCTGTGTTTTTATTTCAGGGATTCTTGTAACTTGACAAATCTCACATTCGGATACGATCTGATACAATCACATATATATATATAGATGGACAAATATAATATTTTATGTTCAGAGGTGAACTTATAATATTTAGATGAAGCATTTATAAAATTTGAAGGGATAAAAATAAATTATTTTTAAAAATACAAAGAAAATATCTAAAATGTATAAGAATTTAAAATTTTCAGGGACGGTTATCCTAATCACCTCCTTCGATCTATCACTATATATGAAAGGAATAGATCTTTTTTAAAATAGAGATTCTTATTAATATATGATAGGCTTAATATAAAAATAAAAGTGTTTAAACTATATCACTTTCCTTAATTGGCTGTCTAAATTTTTTTCGATCAATGTAAGTGCCTAATGTTTCAAATGTTACCATTTTAAGTGTCTCGGCGTTAAAAATTAAAGGTAATGTCGACGAGTCACCATAAGATAATGTTGCATCATCATTTAAAAAAATATCATGTCAACAGTTATGTTAAATTTTTAACGGTCGGTGATTAAAATGAAACAAAAACATAATGTTATGCATGATTTTGGGGGAAAACAGTTATATGACCAAAACAGAATAAGAGATCTAATTGAGGTACTAAACTGGTAGTTTACCCTTTCTATACTATATTAATTTATGAAGAAATATTTGAGCTGGACAGCTAACACAATGTCAGGATGCCCTAGTGGTCTAAGGCGCCAAGCTTAATTTTTGGTCCTCGTGAGAGGTTCAAATCCCACTTCAGATATTGAACTGTAGTTTTTATTTATTTTGAGCAATTATTCACGGGCCACAGCCCACAGGCCAGTAATCTGATCTGGGTTGCTATCATGAACTTTCACAAGATTTGATCATGCATTAAAAACCATGTCAGTAAAGGGAAATTGAAGTTGAAGAAAGTGAGGAACTTGCCATAAATTATACAGACTGCATCAACATCATATATAGTCTACATTTCGACTTCCAGGTTGAAACCGTATTCTCTAAAAACAACGTCTTTGTATCAAAACAAAGAGCAAACATAGCAGCTTTAAAGCACTTCACAAGAACTCAACAGACATACAAATCAGATTTTCATTCAGCGACAATATCTTCATTGTTGCTCCCTTCTGTTGTAATATCTGCTAATGTGTTAAGATCCACAGCAGCATCTTTCTCTTCTTGGGAAAGTGAATTGTCGGTCGAATCAATGGGGTCATTGTGACCTCCATCCAGTCTCGTTAGAGATGGAAGTGTCTGAGCTTTCATTTTCTCCCCTTGCTTCATCGTCACCTTCTTCTTTCTCATTCTGAGTTGAATCTGTGTTCTCCTTAGTCGTGGAAGACTTGGAATTGTGCCCTTCGGCTGTTGCTTTTATCCGGGGGTTATCATCTGACATGCCAGACTCTGTATTGGTTGAGTTCCATGATTCTGTGGTGATCGAATCTACCATTTCAATTTTGCTTGCATCAACTGTATTGGAACCAGACTGCTGAGTGCTGACCATTTGAAGTCGTCTCACTGGCTCTCTCTTTATATTTTTCTTCAGTAACCATGTCATCTTCTGTTGTACCTTGAGCAGAAGTCCCATTCTGCAGTGAACCTGGCATTTCTGTGTTCGCTTTTGAATCCATGTTGCTGGTTTCTTTACTAGCTTCTGCAGAGTTACTGCTTGCTTGGTCAACAAAGTCAGTTGTGTTTGTTTTGTTTGGAAGAGAGACATTCAAGGAATTATCACTTTCGGAGTGTTTACCTTCATCCTTCACTTCTGACTTGTTTTCATCATTATTAGGGGAACTACCACCTTCAATGTGTTTACCTTCATCATCCTTAGCTTCAGACTTGTTTTCATCACCGTTGGCTTTCGGTAGCATTGGCTTTGCTTTCCTGCTCCAAAACATTCCTTGTTAAGTTTTCACTAGAATTTTCCGTTTCTAATTTATCAGATTCTGAGTTAACAATTTGTGTGTCGTGGGACACTGCACTGGACGCATCATCAGCCTTGTAATGCACCTCTCTCGCTTCGTCTGCCTCCCTATCACCAGCCAAAAAATTATTTTTTACCTTTAATTATTATATATAATTTTAATATTTATGGGATAATTATGAAATTGCTCCCCCTTTTAGAAAAGTTATACTTTGCCCCCCTTCAATCCTTCTGTTGGACCTCTATTAGGCTGGAAAAGGTGGAGAACTGATGCATGATGAGACAACAATTATAACTGGAGCACTTGAGCTCACTGAGAAAGAAGCTAAAGATGCCATGACTCCAATATCTGAAACATTTTCAATTGATAATAATGCCAAGCTTGACAGCTATGATTTTCTGTAAATTATCAAGAAAGATGGCATTCACATTTCTGTTTCAACTTGTATTAGATGTTATAAACTGCCCTTAAATGCTTGCTGTGGATAGGGAATTTATGAGTTTAATTTTGGAGAAAAGGCATAGCAGTTCCAGTTTATTATGAGAACCCTACAAACCAGGGTTTCAAATCGCGGTCGCGTTTTCGATTATTTCGGATTTACTTTGATTGCGGCCGTCGCGGGTAACTCGGACGGCGACGAAACCGCTATATCGCGGTCGCGGACCGTTTTTTAAAACCCTGCTACAAACATTATCAGACTTATTCTGGTAATCATTTTTCTTCGTCTAAAACTAATATCATTTACAGTTTGCTGAGTGTTATCATGTAATTGTTTCCTACTTATCTTTTCACTCTCCTTCAAACTGCTCCCTTTAACATGAAATTTCTAACTGGATTATGCTATATGAAATGACAGGCTTTCGGTTAGCCTCTGCTAAATTTTGCATGAATCATTAATGCATCCCACCACCTTTGTACCCCATTTCTCTATAGATTTCCCCTCAAATGCTTATTTTCTGGTGGTATTTTCTTACTTTTTTGCCCTTTCCGAAATCCTTAGGTTTTTACGTTAAAAGGTTTTTGGGTGTTAATTGAGTTTTTATTAAACACCGTTTATCTTTTAATCTTACAGGTCAAGAATTTATTGACTGTTCACCCTGTAGATGAATTGCCTGTGAAGAGTGTCACTATACGAAGGATTCCGAGGTATCTTATAGTAAATCAACTCTAAAAGAAAAGGAAAACTCGTATTTGTTTCTCTGCAAATAATTCACTGTCCACACCACACTCATTGGTTGAGCAGCAACAACAACAACAACAGAACCCAATTCCACACCCTCTATTTATGCCTGCCTGCCATTTTGATATTTATTGCTTAATACTTTTTTCTTTATCCGTTTGTTTCTCTCTTAAAATAGGCCCTTTGCCAGAAGTGAAGGTCGACATTGATGGTGAGAAACAGCCACAAGATAATGCTTTACGACGTAAACGTTCACTGAAAAAGTGGAAGAGCTTTCCTGCTACACCTAATTCTTTTAAAAGTGGTCCTCGGAGCAGGAAGTGGTCAAAGGATATGGATTCAGAAATCCTACATCTAAATGGCAACCCACCCCCAACACTCCCCGAAGAAGAAGGGTCTGTTGCCATAATAACTATTGAAGATGTCATTGAAGAGCTTTTTTACAGGTACCAAATACCTATTACTAATGTTAGTATGCTTTTTTATTTTCATTTTTGCCAACCATTTCTCACACATTTGCCTTATATGTGACCTTGTCCAGGAGGAGATCTTCGACGAGACGGACCATCATTACAAGGACTCATGATAATCGCCTTGCCTTGTTGTGAACCTTCTCTGCGTTAGTGAGTGATTATTTACGATTCTTTGTTTGGCACGTAGAATTGTAGGCACAATTGATGCTGAATGAGTTGCATGCGAAATGCATTAGGCAGTCGAGTGAAGGGAACTATATTTTTGTAGGTATGACAAAAACAAGCAATCCATTTATAAATGTATGGTTATTTTAAAACCTGAAGTTACGTCCTCGTCAATCATACACGCAGCAAACTGAAAGGATTTCATTAGTAATCAAATCTGTGTCTGTAAATTAACAAATTCGTTGTTTCAAAAGCTAAATTTCATCATAGAACAAGGAACGACCCATTTTTACATCAAGGATAGGGTGCGTGCCGGGTGGGATAATAGCAATACAAAGAAATAGGGTCCCGCAAGGTGACTGAGTGATAGACTACATTGACTGGAGGCGCGAATGCCAGGGCAAGGCGGTTAGGGTTTTAATAATCTTTGGTTCGGCTTAGAACCGAAAAGCCGTCACGTTTTTTTTTTAGTTCTGGCCGCATAAAAAAGAAGCAGCTTTTTCCAGTATTTTTGGAGGGAAAAAAGGGGTGGAAATCTGAAAGATGTCTCTGATGAACAACCTATCAACTTCAATGATTTCTTCGTCTTCCTCTGCTTTCTTGGCTCCAACCAGTTTCAATTCAAGGTACTCTTTTTTTAATGTTCTACTTTTGATTTTCTTGTTTCCGTTTGGTTTTTGAGAATACAAAATGCAGCTTCTCTTTCTTTTTATCATTTAAATTGTTGTATTTTATTGGGTTTTTTCTTCTTTTTGGGGTAATGCAGCAGAACCCAGAATGTTTCAGTTCCACTGCAAAGCCTTCGTATAGTTAAATGTATAACCACTCCTCAAGAACAACAGACTGGTGATTATTCTTATTCTATTTTTTAATTATTATTGCAATTTTTTTGGGCATGTAGAAACTTGAAATTTGTTGCTTCAAAGCTAACGCTGAGTAGTTGAGCTGGTAATGACACTAAGAACAACATTTCATTAGCAGCAGAAATGACTTGGTGATGACATTTATATTTTCTGTAATTACTTCTAAATTGAATATGACTAAATGGAGCTATTTGTTTTGAAGCTTACAAAACAAAGGTTTCTTGCAATGCGAACATAGCCAAGCTTCAAGCTGGTTACCTGTTTCCAGAGGTCTGTGGTACTTCTCATTAGTCTAGTCCTTTTCTTTGTTGCCGTTGGCAGGGTTTCAAATAGCGGCTGAATAGCGGTGTCTCGGCCGTTATATCACGGTCGCGGCGGTGTCTGAAACCGCTATTGCGGAAAATAATGGTGTGAAGTGGGATCACACCAATAGTTGTGGATCGCGGCCGCAATTTAACGGATCGCGGCCAATCACGGCAATAGCGGACCGCTATTCCGCTATTATTCCGTTATTTTATTTTTTTAAAAAAAGGTTTTTTTATTAAAAAAAAATCAGCTCATTCGAAAAAAAATTCACGATCGCGATATCCACAATGACCGCAATAGCATCCGTTATATCCGCAACCGTGATAAACGCTACGCAACCGCGAATGCTATTTAAAACCCTGGCCATTGGTGTTGTGAATAGAGTTTTCCCTCGAGTACATTTATGTTTTTCATGTTCCGTTTCCAAAAATGCTTTGTTTTGATTTTATTCGTTTCTTTTTAAATAAGAAGGCTTATTTGTTTGCTGTTGAGAGTTGTTCTATTTAATGTTTATCATAACAGGCTGCTAGAAGAAGGGCTGCACACTTGCTAAAGTACCCGAACGCACAAGTGATTAGCCTTGGAATTGGTGATACTACTGAACCTATTCCAGATGTTATTACTTCTGCAATGGCTAAGGTAATTGTTCCTTGTTTTTGCACTTTTTAAGGGTTGAATCTCTATTTCTTGCCAATATTTCTCGCTACCATCATCGATATCTATTCAAGCATATGTAATAGGAACTTTGGAGCAAAGAATTTATGTTTCCAAGTAGTGCCTGAATCAATGGACGAGTGTATAAGAGATTAAGCTGATATCCATTTGTATTATTTTCTATTTGGCAGAGATCTCATGCATTGTCTACGCTGGAGGGTTACAGTGGTTATGGAGCTGAGCAAGGTGAAAAAGTATGTCGTTTTGAGTGTTTAGTATAATTATTCCTGACTTAAAAAATGAAGCTCGCTAATAATGTTGTAGTTTAGTTCTTTTAGTAGTAGATACATAAATTGTACTTTTTTGGAGGGTCATTTGCCAACTTCAAACTAAAGGCCCAAATTTTGTAATGCTAGATGTGAATACTAAGTTTCAACTCACAACTTTAATGTTAATTTCTGCAGGCATTGAGAGTTGCTCTCGCTTCAACATTTTATGGAAACCTTGGCATCGAGGAGGAGGATATATTTGTCTCAGATGGTGCTAAATGTGATACAGCTCGCCTTCAGGTTTGATTTAATTATTCTTTGGAAGTACTTTACCTTAGTTGATGACTGATTTAAACTTGATCTTGTCGGTTTTGATTTCACCCTAGGCATGTTTGTTTTTGGATCTAATGTTACAATGGCAGTGCAAGATCCATCATACCCGGTAAGGCTGTAACATTTCGTTGTTGTTTTATTGTGACAATCTTTTTCAATTTATCATATTCATATGTCAAACTATCATTTTTGGTTGGTCTGGTGGTCCTCTGGTGTTTATTTGAACAAACTTTTAATTTGTTTATTTGAAAGGAAGGTGAATTTGTGAAATTCTGATATAGATATTCCTGTCACACTCTTTATTCAGACAAGGCATCTTTTCATGTTTGCACTTGTTATGTCAGGCCTGGGTGGCTGGGTCTCTTACAAGACGAGTTTCTGTCTTTCTAAGTTTTGCTATTCTGTGCAAGCTTATGTAGATTCCAGTGTTATCATGGGCCAGACTGGGCACTTTCAAAAGGATGTTGAGAGATTTACAAATATCGAGTATATGAGATGTACGCCAGAGAATGGATTCTTTCCTGATTTATCCAATGTTGCCAGAACCGATATCATATTCTTCTGTTCGCCAAACAATCCTACTGGAGCTGCTGCCACAAGAGAGCAATTGACTCGATTGGTTCAGTTTGAAAAGGACAACGGGTCTATCATAGTATATGATTCTGCTTATGCCTGTATATGTCAGATGAAAACCCACGTTCTATCTTTGAAATTCCTGGAGCAAAAGAGGTAACTCTGGGGTTAGGAATGTTTTCTTACCGTGCTTGTTATCTAGTGTGGTAATTCTGGACTTGACTATATGTTTGACGTGTAAATTTCCTTATCAGTATTTTAGGTTGCAATTGAAACAGCTTCCTTTAGTAAGTATGCTGGATTTACTGGATTTCGTCTTGGTCGGACTGTTGTTCCAAAACAGCTTCTGTTCTTAGATGGTTTTCCTGTTGCCAAAGACTTCAACCGTATTGTTTGCACTTGCTTTAATGGCGCGTCTAATATTTTCCCAAGCTGGTGGCTTGGCTTGCCTTTCACCTGAAGGGCTTGAGGTTAGTGTCCTTGCCTTGGCTTTATTGTTAAAACATATTTTGTGAATGCTAGCATCCTCATTTTAGATTTTCGTTTCTCGGCAGGCAATGCAAGAGGTGATTGGTTTTTACAAAGAAAATACCAAAATTATAGTAGAGACATTTAACTCGATTGGGTTTGAAGTGTATGGAGGACAGAATGCACCATATGTGTGGGTCCACTTCCCTGGCCGCAACTCGTGGGATGTGTTCAGCGAGATACTCGAGAAGACCCACATTGTCACTACTCCTGGAAGTGGATTTGGACCTGGCGGTGAAGGTTTCATTAGGGTCAGCGCATTTGGTCACAGGGAGAATGTCTTGGAAGCCTGCAGAAGATTCAAGCAGCTTTACAATTGAATCAAATAGCATTTGATCCGTTGCCTCGATTTTAGTCCTGAGATGAAATGCCATCTGGTTTATGATTTATTCTATGTTCTGTTAGTAACATTACTCATAATATCGTATCGGATTCTATGCCAAGAATGAGGAGCATTTTCCCTGTAACATTCACTGAATCTGGTTTTTCAGATATATAAATCAGTGCTTGCATTTTGTAGGAATTTCTAGATTTAGTTTCTTGTTCAATCATAAAGACCATTCGTCTGTTTAGTCGTCTAACCGTGTTTATCAGATACCTTTTTTTCCATAAAATGATGTTCGAGTACATGAAATGCAAAGCAGGATGCTGTAGTTGAAATCGGAAACTTGCTAGTCTTGGTTCACAATATTGGTGATTCCAACTGTGATATGATATGGGAATTCTCTGAAATAAAACCAGCTAACATGATTCCTATTGCACGTCTGTTCTTGTTTCTTTGCTAGAAAAGTAATAAAATAATGTGGCAGGTTATCCAACTGTGTTTGGTAGTGAGGAAAATGAAACTGCAAATACAAATTCTTTTGCTCTTAGAAACAATTGGTTTGTTCTTAAATTTTCATAGTTCCCTCTATTTAATCAACTGGAGGAGCTCTGTAATATGCTGGCACAGTTGCAGGGAAAAACATTTGTCTAATTCCTTCTGCCCTGATAATAGGGAAAATAATGCCTGATGCACCCTGGAAATATAAACGAAAACACAGTCGGTAAAGGAAACGAAACACGAGATCATATAAGACGATGAGGTTTAGAAGATCAGATACAGACCGAAATCAGTCGAACCCCCGTCCATATGCGTGCCGGGGAAGGAAATGGAAGTAACAAACGGCCAACACCATATATTGCCACGGAAAAGAAATGTATCACTAGGCTTATGGGATGTGGATTTAGACCAGAGAGTAGGGATATAGGTCCGGTTGAAAACGACCCTCCGAGGCTCAAATAGTCGAAACATGCTTCCCGCATCTCCTCCATTGCTGCATCAGGTGAGACACTAAAGACCTTGTATAGGGCACCAGCCAATGTATTTATAGTAGATGCCACTGGCTGCAGATCATAAAATCCTTCAGAATGTGTCTTTAGATTTCGGAATTAAGCGTTTACT